AAGCTGGATTGGAATTCATGTTGTGACTTCAGTTGGTTTCAGGGCTGTAAATTCTCTCTGGGTGACAACCCTGTGTGCTCCAGGTGAGGGAGGCAGCTGCTGCTGCAGCGTTTTTTGCCGGGTTAGTGATAGGGCTGTTAAATCTCTCTGGGTAAACAACCCTGTGTGCTCCTTGGTGAGCGTGGCTGCTGTGGCTACAGCGCTTGCCAGACTAGTGTTTCAGCTCTGGAGAGGCTCCACAGAACCTCTCTCTCTCTCTGGGTTAACGAACGTGACTTGCTGCAACGGCCGTTGGCAGCGTTTTGAATTTCGCGCCTGCGTGGGCGTCAGTGACTCGGAATAACAGCACCGCGCTGTATTCCGGCAAGAAATTCAAACGACAGCCGTTTGAATTTCGCGCTCTTTTTGTGCTGAGCGGCTGCGGCTCGCAGCGCTTCACTTTCGGCTGCGGCTCGCAGCGTTTCACTTTCCCTGTAGCTTGCTAACCGAGCGGCTACAGACGCTCCTTACTTTCGCTTTGCTTTCGGCTGCGGCTCGCAGCATTTCACTTTCCCTGTAGCTTGCTAACCGAGCGGCTACAGACGCTCCTTACTTTCGCTTTTGCTGGCCGAGCTCTCCACGGCGCGGCTGCGGCTCAGCAATGGAGTGATTTCAGCTGTTGCTGCTTGCCTCTGGTAGCCATCCCATCCTCGTCGCCAGTGTTGTAGATTGAATGATGAGAGGCTAGACCAGGGCATTAAAGCAGCAAGACTTTATTCAATGAATAAAGGACTGAACATGTCAGCGCTGCTGGGAGCAGGCTTCCAATGAACAGCGGCTGACCTGACCCTGCAGCTGGCTTTTATAGCCGGCTGCTGAGGTGAGTCAGCCAATGAGGAGCAGTCAACGCCCCTACAGTAAGAACGGACCTGGTTGGGAACTTTGGTAAGTTCCAGGGACATAACAATTTTGCTAACTTAGCATGTTTACTTAAATATGTTCTGCTGTATATATATTTAGCTTTCTCAGCCCAATTCACCTCATAGGGTTGTTGTTGTAGGGAAAATAGGAAGAAGAGAGTGTTGGATAAGATCACTGCCTTATTTGTAAAAATTAATAAAGGCAGGATATGAATGAATAAATAAATAAATAACAATACTTGCGTCAATTGATGCTTCATTTATTCTCTAAAATTTCTTTAGCAATACCGATAGCACTTAGACCTATATATCACCCCATGGTGTTTTACAGCAGTCTCTGGGAGGTTTACAACGTCAGCCTATAACTCCCAACAAACCGGATCCTTGTTTTACCTATCTTGGAAGAATGGAAGGCTGGGACAGCCTTGAGCTCCATCAGGCCATGAGCAGAATTAGCCTGTAATACTACATTCTGACCATTGCACCTCCAGGGCTTTATAGAATGTTAGATTTGAACAGACCCATGAACCACCCATCTTCCCATAGGGTAACTCTGAGCAGTTTACAGTCACAAAAAAATATGTCTATACAAATATAACTAAAACATGATTAAAATCAGACATTGAAACCTAAGAACAGAGGAGGAGGGCTGGGGCGGATGAGGGGATCTGTTGTTACTCTATCAACCATCTCCTCTGTGCTGTTCCTCCACTGGGGCCCCAGGCAAAATGGCAGAGCCAGGACTTTAGGCCCTTAAGAATGCGGGCCTTAAAATGTTTATGTTTGGGTATTTGAAGCTCTGAGATTGGTCCCATGATACATCATATTACACACTATTAAAAATGCTCTAAGGACACCTGTATAATAGATGCTGAGAGGAAGGCAGGCTTTGAAATGCACCCAGTCCTTCAACAGAAAAAGTATGTGCACAATCTTGAATGAATCCTTGGGTCCTAGCTCAATGCTGGAGAACTCAAAAAAAATTGTACAAACCGACAGGATTTTGATTCCTCATGTGAAAGGTTCACGATGAAGCAGAGTTATTAAGCAGGAGAGGACTTCCAACCAAATCCCGTAATTTAATTAAGACTTAATTTTCTGTTCAATCGACAGTGCTATGCAACAGGTGTAAGCTGCTGCTCTCCAGTTTTGTTGAAACAGCAACTGTGGATTTCCAGGCATTGTTTCTACTATCGGTAAAGAAAGGGAGAGAAAGTGAAGCTGGAGGTGAAATAATTTTGAAATTGGCCTGACCTATAGAAGACCTAAATCAAGGAGTTTGCATTTAAAGTCCTCAGTTTTGAATTAAAGAAGTAAACTAAATTAAACATAACAAATAGTCCCAATAATTTTTCTCAATCAGAACAGATGCTGAATTTCAAATTAGGCAAAATCTTTACATGATTTTACTTTCCCATTAATATAAGCTAAAAGCTATTGTCTCCATGATTATCATTAACTATGCTGCTCAGTTATATTAATGAATGAAATCAGACAAAAATATTATAATTATGCCATGCTGAGTAGGCTAAATATAAAGGGTAGTATCATGATGGAGACCTTAAAATTTAATTATGTAGCACTGTATTAACAATCCATGTGGATATATCTGTATATGAAGACAGAGCTCGCCTGATATGTCATGATTTAGATATTAGACCAGAAGTACAGAAACAGATTCTACTTTAGACTTGCTGGGTTACGTTAAGCCAATCACTCTCTCTTAGCATAACTTACCTTACATAGCTGTTGTTCTTTGGAAAAATCGATAGAGAGATCATGATGCATATAGCTTTTAGCTCCTAATTAGAAGTGGGATAAAAAAAGTGTGTAAGCTTGTGTATGTGTGCTTATAGGTTTTCTGTAATATCTTGCTTACATATAATTAATAAAAATTCAAGAAAAGAGGAAGAGAGCAAAACAATATCGATCTGTGTGTGTTCTTATATTCTCAGACTTGTTTATATGTAAATAAAATTGTATACAATTTTTCAATAATAGATGACCATACCCCACTGTAATTATTCATACATAACCTCTGATGATAAGCAACTGATTCATATGTTGTAAATAAATGTAAATCAGGTATTCCAGTATTGAAGAACTAGTCTCTTTGCAATACAAAAGCAATAAGAATTCATTCTATTGTCTAGCCATCACCATCATTTTTCAGGTAATATGTACAGTATGTGGTTGAAAAGATTTGGACATGCAAGTATAGTAAAAGTCAAATTAGTATATATGATTAGTTATATGATTATTTCTTCCCAAGCAGAATGACATCACAAAAATGTACGCTTTACTGATATGTTGCTCCCGTTGCATTATTTATGTGATAATTGTAATAGATAGATAGACAGAGAAACAGACAGATAGACAAACTGAATTTTGGGTGGCTGACCCTTTGCCTTATCAACAACTGCACACTATAGGATAACAACATTTCTATGTTTAGAAATATCCCAAAGTTTCTTTTTTCTTTTTTTTAAAAAAAGCTCTTTTAGGACAACCATGACCTGGATGATTGAGAATCTCGATAAACATGTTTAGAAATAGTTTTGCTTTAAACTAAATATAGTCATTAACAATTTAGTAAGCTTAAAGAAAAACAGAAAAATTATGCGATTAATCTTTTTGGATATGAATCTATTGCTGATGGTTCAGTAACATTTTATTAGATAACAACTTTCCTGTTTAAATAAAGTAAGACAAACAGCTGGTAGCAAATATAAAGAGTTAAAAATAAATAAATCCTTGCAAAATTAAAAAAAATCCTCACGAAATGTAAAATATTGGGAAGTTTGACCTGTATTCATTTTGCTGTTGGGGAAAAAAGCTTTTTTGTTTTTTTTGGTTCTTCCTTCACAGCACATTTTTTGACATTCAGGATATGACCATTTGCACTTTACCTTTATGAGAAATCTAAAAAGCTATTGGTTGTTTTTCTTTGACAAATGTGAGATTCATCACATAATCAGACAATCCTTTTTAAAAAAACAACAAAGGGAATTAATTCAAGAAATAGGTGTATGTAGGTCATTGCCACTTTGGGAACTGAGAATTATAGTTGGTGGTTGGTGGGGAGACATCTTGAAACAAACGTCAGGAAAAAAATGAAGTTTATTGAGTGTTGGTGGGCAATCTCTTTAAGAAGCATATTCAGGCATGCCTGGAAATGAGGCCAATTTATAGTAGCTGAGAGTAGATCTCGGGGAAAAATTGGGGGTTTTCTTTGTTTTATAAATGCAATATGACTACTTTAAGACTGATATTATAGTTTTTAAGTCTGCACGATTCCAAAATCTGTAAGAAGCACTTATGGTCCTCTTAGGAGCACAACATGCTACCTGAGGAATTCTGGGAGTTGACGTCCACATACCTTAAAGATGCTGAGAGGGTTAACGCTGTGTTAAACTAGTGTGGGTTTTTTTTTCTTTCTTTCCCAGGCTCCTGCCTGAAAAAGAAGTGCTGCTGCTTTAAGAACCATATTAATTCAATGAAAACATTCCTTAAACCATCCTCATCTTTTTCTGAGACTCATATAGAAGTCTTCACAAAGGTGGATTAACACAATGCTTGCACGGCCTCTGAACCTCTTCTGCCTAATGGTTTTAGAAATGTGCGCAATTCTAATAGTTTTCATCTGTAGCCTACCTCAGATCCCTGGGAGGGGGTGTTACTTGCTGTCATTGTTCAGTAATCATGATGTGAAGGAGCTCTTTCTACCAAAAGAGGACTTAGTAATTGCGTGCAGCCTTGGAGCATCCATCCATATCTTGAAATGGAGACACAGGCCTTATCCTAAGCATCACAAGTGGTTCTATAAGGACATCTTATAGAAGATATTGACATATTTTGAAGTGGACTACATTTTTGTGGGGCAACAACTATTATTTGAATTCCTTAGGACATTTAAAAAATAAAATCAAATAAATGGCAGCAGGCAGAGACTAAGCACTTTCCTGTATTTAAATTACACCAAAGCCCTTTCTTTCTAGGATATGTTTTTAAAAAATGAACTGGTGACTATATTCTTTAATAAGCTTTTGTTTCTTTCATTTTTAGGCATAGTGAAGTGAACTGGATTGATCTTCCTGAAGTATGTTTCTGAGGAATAGCTGGTTTTGTGCTCGCTGGGCATGGAAAAACATGAAAAAGGGCTTAATAGTCCTTGCCTTCTTCCTCTTGCACGTTTCTGATCTGGAAGGTAGAACGTCACCTCCCTTTGTCTGGAAAACAGGTAGGGATGAATGAATCCTTAACTGACATTTACAGCTTGGACAATTGTGATTCTTCAGTCATTCACAAGAATGGATTTATTTATTTATTTAATTTATTTTGATTTGTCAATCGCTTAAAAGATAATAGGTATAAGTATAAACATAGTTATGAATACATGAAATGGATACATATAAGAAAAATAAAAAGAAACAATAGGACAGGGACGGTAAGCACGTTGGTGCGCTTATGCACGCCCCCTACAGACCTCTTAGGAAGGGGTGAGGTCCATAGTAGACAGTCTAAGGTTAAAGTTTTTGGGGTTTGGGGAAGAAACCACAGAGTCAGGAAGAGTATTCCAGACATTGGCCACTCTGTTGCTGAAGTCGTATTTCCTGCAATCAAGTTTGGTGCGGTTTACCTTGAGTTTGTATCTATTGTTTGCTCTTGTATTGTTATGGTTGAAGCTGAAGTATTCATTGTCAGGTAGGACATTTGTAATGTATGATTTTATATACTATACTGAGATCGGACCGGAGACAGCGTAGTTCTAGGTTTTCTAGGTCTAGAATTTCAAGTCTGGTTGCATAAAGTATTCTACAGTGAGTAGAAGAGTGGAGAACTCTTCTTGTGAAATATTTCTGGTGATGGATGGAGGAGGTTACCCTCCTGATTTTTCCTGAATGCTTTCATAGAACAGTTCACAGAATCATAAAGATGGAAGGGGCCTTAAAGGTCATCTAGTTCAAGCTACTGCTCTATGCAAGAACCATTATAACATTTCTGCCAGATGGAATGTTGGAAGGAAGGTCTCCATTGAAGTAAAATTCATCACTTCAGGTGTCAGCCTGTTCCACTGGCTAACAGCTTATATAGTCAAGAAATTTAGTTTTTCTTAAAGTTTTAATCTATTGCCCCCTCTACTCCTGCTCCTGCTACTATATGACAGCCATTGGATATTTGGAGATTGCTATATCTCCCCTCCTGTCAAGTGATCTCATCTGTTGTGTAAGTGTGCCCAGTTCGTTTATCCATTCCTCACAGGATTTCACTTTTAGATCCTCTCACCATCTTGGTTGCCTTCCTTTGAACTCATTTCGGTTGTCACTGTCCTTTGTGGTGCCCAGAACAAGACCCATATTCCAAGTGGAGTCTGACTAGAACTGAGTAAGAGCAAAAAAAAAAAAAAAATCCTTCTTTTAACCCCAAGCTAGCATTTAACATTTTAATAGCTTCATCACATTGCTGGTTCACGTTTAGCTTGTGATTGAGAAGTAAATCCAGATTCCTTTCCTGTTGTTAAGCCAGGTTTATCCTTCCTTCCTTCCTTCCTTCCTTCCTTCCTTCCTTCCTTCCTTCCTCCCTCCCTCC